TAAAAAAAACTTTTTTTGGGGGAGAGGTATTTTTCGCTATAGGGGGCGTGCACTCGCCAGACAGATAGAGAGAGACATAGAGACAGAAAGCGAGAAATCACCCCCCAGGGGGGATGGGCACGCCGCAAGCCCTTCTCCTCCATTCTCCTCTCAGGATCTCGGGCACGCACACACATGCGCCCGGCGTGACTCTTAAGCCACCGGGTCTGAGACGCGAACCGCGGTCGACTACGTGGGAGTCCAGCGACATAGCCATTATGCTAACTGCTGGTTCCCCCTTTTAAAAAATTTTTAAGGCAAAGCTGTTTCTTGACTTTCAGCCCCTCCTTTCTCTCTATCTTGTTAATAATCCCCTCTTCCTCTCCCAACCCAGGAGAGGCAACAGAGCAGGCCTCAGAAGACACCTTCATGGCTACTGAGAATTGTTGTTGTTTCTCTCTGTTTCCTTTTCTGCATGCTTCTGGATGCTCAGATTGAACTTCAAGTTTGGGAAGAAACACACTTTCCATCAGATGACTAGAAATCACCACAGGACCACAAGAAATATGGGAAAGAAGAAACTACCTCTCCTCCAAAGGAAAAGAATAACTCCTCATCCACAGACAGTTCAATGGAAATCATGGAAATATCTGATAAAGAATTTAGAATATTCATAATGGCAAAGCTAACAGAGATAGAAGAGAAGAGAGACAATGAACTGCAGAAGAGAAAGGAGAAAGGAGCTGACAAGTCCCAGGAGGTGAGGAAATTCTTGCAAGATCTAAAAGAGAAATTACACACTTTACAAAAGAATCTAATGGAACTGTTTGAGATGAAGACTATAATACAGGAAGTCAAAATCTCTCTTGAAAGTATTAAAAGCAGACTAGATCATACAGAAAATAGAATCTCAGATGTAGAAGAGAAAATTGCTGGCCTAGAAAAATCCACCACGAAGACTGAGAAAATTGCCCCAAAATTTGAGAATAATATACAAGAAATACTAGATACCATCAAATGTCCAAACATCCAGTTAATTAGCATCTCAGAAGGTGAAGAGACTCATAAGGGCGTTGATAATCTATTTCATGAAATCCTGCCAGAAAACTTTCCAAAGCTAGAGAAGCACTCCAAGATCCAGTCCCAAGAAATACAAAGGACCCCAAATAGAATCAACCCAAGAAGATCTTCTCCAAGACACATTATAACCAGACTGACCAAAACCACAAAGACAAGATACTTAGACTGGCAAGAGAGAAATGGCAAGTTAACTACAAAGGATATCCCATCAGACTAACAGCAGACCTCTCATCAGAAACAATGTGAGTGAGGAAAGAATGGGAAAATATATTCAAAGTGTTAAGAGAAAAGCAATTGCAACTGAGAATACTGTACCTGGCAAGATTATCCTTCACATGGGAAGAAAAGACAAGAACATTTTCAGATAAACAAAACCTGAAAGAATTTACCAGCACCAGACCAGATCTCCAAGAAGTTCTAAGGGAGTGCTATGTCAGGAAAATTAAATGTAGTCACACAGAAATAAGAGTTCAAAAACTAAGAAAAATGGCCATCTTAATCGTAGGGACAAGTCTGGAGTTGAATATTATATCTCAGAATTCAATCGGGAAGATTGAACCACAACACAAGATAGATTAAATACATGAGACTGAACTGGTGAAATAGCATTCTGTGACTTTTGATTACAGTATTGCTGCTTTTCTTCTAGGCTTCGTTGTCCGATTTTAAGAGTTTTTGTCCTGTCTTGAGCTGTCAATAGGTTCATGTACCTACTATTTGAACAGAATACTAGCCTGTTCCCAGGCTTTAAGTTTTAAGTAAATTTCCTTACCAGTTCAAAACTGCTTTTCTTGAAATTACTAGCTGAACTTGCTATTGAAAGCAGTTAGATTATTTAAGAAATTGTGTGATTAATAAAAAGTGGGGGGAAAAGGAATGGAAGACAACTGTAGACACCAGAGAAAGTGTGAGAAGAGGGTGGGAAAGGGGAGAGGGTCAGACATACGGGTAAACACACACACACACACATATGTGAAATTAGAAATGGAAAATTATTGATGATAACATCTATGATTAAGCCACTGTGCAGTATATTCTGGATGGGAAACCACTTTTTGTATGCTGTGACGATGATTAGGGGATGAATGTACATTAATTCATTTTAAAAAGGTTTCAGGAAAAAAATGCATATTTGATGACTGCAGTAAGTTATATAGTCCCAGCTAGGTGCCACTTTATAGTATGTTCATTCTACTCACTGAGGTTTATGCCTAAAGTCAGACTTGTGTTCATGGATATGTATTTATCAGCTGCACTTGCTGCTAGAAATATTTAGATTAGTTAAGTTCATTAGCAAATCAATAAAATGGGGAAAGGCATAGAAAGCAACCATGGATACCAGAGACAGTGTGGGAGGAGGGTGGGACACGGTAGAGGGTGAGAGATAGGGAATCAAGGATGGCAAAAAAAAAGAAGAAGAAGAAGAAGCAAAATATACAGGAAACAAGAAATGGAAACTGGAGGAGTCCAACCTGGCGGGGCTCCAGGATCTGTTTGAGTCCCCCCGACCTTTGAGCATAGCTTTGGTTGGTCAACCCACCCCAGCCAAGGCTGGACCCTGGCAGGAAACTCATTTGTTGACAATAACATGGATGTTGATGTGCTTGATTGAGCCAATATACAGTGTATTCTGAATGGGAAATCTTATTTTGTATGCTATAATGATGTATAGTGAATGAATGTAAATAAATAAAATTTTTTTAAAAAGTTTGCGAGAGGTAGGTCACATTGCCTTAAAAGGAACTTGGTTTTTTTTTTTTTTTTTTGGAGAGATTTTTTTGCTACAGGGTGCGTGTGCTCACCAGAAAGACAGAGAGAGACAGAGAGACAGAAAGCGAGAAATCACCCCCCAGGGGGGACGGTCATGCTGCAACCCCTTCTCCTCCATTCTCGTCTCAGGATCTTGGGCACGCATGCACACACGCCTGGCGTGAGTTTAAGCCACCCGATATGGAACTCGAACCGCAGTCCACTATATGGGAGTCCAGCAACATAGCCATTACACTAACTGCTGGTCCCAAGGAACTTGTGTTCTTGAGAAAAGATGAACCTCAGCTTCTCCAATGGTATGCTCCCCAAGCTGATGCTGGGGAACACAGGATTGAGAGTTGGCCAATCAGGACCATGGAGCTTCTTCCCAGCCCAGCTGCTGACTGAGCTACTGGGCTACAGGTCACAGGACAGCAGACAGAATACATTAGGTGGGGATCTGACCCACTTCCAAGTACCCCTACACCTGGCAACAAGCTCTGGTGAGCAGCTAGCTTCCTTTTCAAGGCAACACGAGAGCCTAGAAGGCAGAAACTTCATTATCTCCTAGGCAAGGATTTTGTCCCATGCCAGTTAGGAATGGATAGGGATTTTTTTTTTAATTACTTTAAATTTTATCCATTATTGTTATTTTTAAAAATTGAACTGAGAGAGACAAAGAGAGAGAGTGAAAGAGGGAAAGTGAGTAAGCAAGCCACCAAGTCCAGGACTTGAACCTTGGTTGGCCATGTGAGTCCAGCATCTTAACCACCATGCCACCTGCCAGCCCCGGATGGGGATTTTTGTACAGGGGTGATGCATGCCAAGGGTATCCTTGTGACAAAAGGAATAAAGCTCAGTTCTGGTCTATTCCCCTCTGACCCTCAAAGCAGGCATTTACTGGCCTTGTTATTCCCAGAAAACTGTCAGGAAAGGAAGGGTCTGCTGTAAACACTACCATGTTTCCTGTAAAGAGCCTCTGAAAAGTGAGATAAAGAAAATTCTAGCTCATCTCTAATCTATAGTTTAAAAGACCTGATAAAATTCAGACATCCAGGGCCAGCAGGTGCCGTGGTGGATAAGGCAGCTGGATCCCACATGGCCACCTACATGGTTCAAGTTCCAGACTCAGCAACTTGATAAACACCAGGTGTGTGTGCATGTGTACTCAAAATCCTGAGAGGAGTATGGAGAAGGGATTGCGATGTGGCCATCCCCTCTGCAGGGTGTTTTCTCACTTTCTGTCTCTTTGGTGAGTGCACACGCCCTATGGCAAATTGAACAAAATAAGCTCAGGTTTCTTAATAACCCAGGGAAAAGAATGAGAAGACAAGCCAAGGACCTTGATATACATATATAATTTTAATATTTAATTTAAAATAATACCAAGGTTGGATTGGATTGGGAGAGAGTATCTGATGTGCAGAAGAATATAGGATTTTTTAAAAATCATGAAATTACAAGTCATTGGTAAGAACAGCCTTCTTCCTCCTGCAGACTCTCTATAGAACTTGCTTAAGAAATAAGAAAGGTGAATCATCTCCCTTACCTTCCCCCCTACCAGGGCTTGGCTCTCCCCAAAATCCAAAAGAGGAATAAATGCTCCATTTCCTCTTCCCATTTCTACCAAGAGTCAGCATCTAGCCCCAGGGGAAGTCCTGACTCAGAGCCAAGCTCCTGAGAAAGTGAAGGTCCCTTGCTCCCCTAATGAGGCTGGGCACAACTGGTCAGAGAAGCCACAGGAAGGCCACAGGGACTGAGATCTTTGCTTTTGAAGCTTGCATAGACAGTGGTCAGAGTTCCCAGGTGCAACCGCCTTACAACCACATCCATTATCACAGAGGAGGGAGAGGAGAAAGGATGGAAACCCTGAGCAGAACCAGATCCCCACCACCTTATCATGGCTCGAGCAAAGTCCTTCTCCCAGGGCTCTTCAACAGAGAAGCCAGTAGCTCTCTCAACCAGTCACTGGGGCAGCAGGAAAGGCTGAGGGCCCCGGCTGGGGAAAGGCTCTTTGGAGAGGTATGAATGTGCACATATAAAAGGCAAGAAGAGCATCCTTATCTCCTCACCCTGGCTAAGGCACTGAGAGGGAAGAAACAAGGTAAGAATGGTGACAATGGAAAGGAGAGAGGACCAAGGGTCTCTTGGAGAAGATCAAAATATAGGAAGTGGATGGGTATGGGGACTGCTGCATGGGCCCCGTGACTGTGCAAAAAAGGAGCATCTGAGAAGTGGGAACAGCCACGCCTGCGTGTCCATTACCCGTAACGTGTCCTTCACCCTGCTCCAGAGTGGGAGGAAAATGGGTTGCAGGAGTCCAGAGAGCAGAAGAGCATAGGCTATTTCCCTGAGCCTTAGGGTTTAAGGGCTAAAGAAATAAAGCTTTGTACACATGGCAATTTCTAGCCCTTCCTATCCAGCTCAGTCTCCTCAGGCTATATGCTGACCGTCCTTCCACCACAAGGGAGATGAAGGCGGGGGCAGCACTCCAGGGGAGGGCTGAGCTGGCCGGAAATGCACGCTCCTCCAGTGGAAAAAGAAAGTCCATCTCTTGGCTGGCTTATCGCCATTGTCCTTTTCACCACCATCACTCAGACCCCTCCTGTCTTAGGTCTGAATAACTGGGTCACCCACAGGTACTAGGGATCTGAGGTGGGCAGGGCAGAACAGGGCTGGCTGGGATAGGCCTCAAGCCTGGTTTCTGGACCCTTGAGGATCATGGGCTAACAGGAGCTGGTCTGCAGGTTGCTCTCTGTAAGCAGTGATGCGATGGAAGAGGGATCGTAGACGCCATCAAACTCCTCATCAGAGCTCAGCCCTTCGTGTTTGAGGGTCGACTCAGCAGTAGCGGAGCGGGAAGCTTTGCGCCTGGGTCAGAGAGAAGAACTGGTAAGCAAGGGGGGAACAGAAAGATTGGGATGACCACCCCTCTTGTGCTAAGGAAATCACAATTCTTCTAGGCCTGAAGCTATTCCCAAGAAACCCCACTAACAAGAGATCTGGGGAGACAGGATACAGGTTTGGGGCTGACATACTAATAGACACACTACACTGTCTCATCTTAGAGATTTTCTTATCTAGCTCGCGAGAGATCATCCCCTCCCTGCCTTACTGTCCATATGGAGCAGGAGGCAGAAGGGCAGGGCAGCTCTTACCAGGAATCCTTCTCCAGGGACTTGATCCTGGCCTGGAGCTGTTCATTGACCTCGTGTTGCTCCTCCAGTTCCCGCTGGGCCTTCTTCCTCAGGCCATCCAGTCGCTCGATTTCCTCTTCTGCTTCATCTACCTGCCGCTTCAGAGCCTTCACCCTCAGGCTTAGCTGGGCAGGACACCAAGTCCCCACATTAGAAAAGCATCTGCTACCATGGCCAGGAAACCGCCGCTGTAACCTTTCGTTCTTTCAGCATATGCCTGAGAGCGCATGTGCTGGCCAGAAAGAGATCAAGAGAGGAAGCGCCCCCCCCAATAGGTGTGGTCACGCCACACTCCCCTCGCCACTTCTCCATCCTATCTGGATTTTAGGCACACACACACAAGTGCCTGATGTGTTTTTCAAGCCAACTGGGCCGGGATTTAAATCACAGTCAGCCATGCGAGATCGGGCTGTCAGTCACTAGACTACTGGGCCAGCCCACCTGTAATAATCTTGACAAGGGAAAATTGCCCCTAAAAAAATGTTATCATGGGTAAGTTCCCTAACCACACAGAGTTGGCTTGGGGATTAAATAAATTAGTGCACGAGTAACACTTAGTGAACCTCGCACCTCCTCAGCTCTCAGTGCACGTTTCCTAGGATTGCTCTAGTCTAGTCATTCCAACCGTCTCTCTCCGCCCCTACACAAGTGCAAGTATGGAAATCCTATGGGAGACAGGAGCCTCCTTTGCCTTCAAGCAAACACATAATATGTACTTGCCCCATGGCTGCTTGCCAAGTCCTTACCTGGTCTTTCTGGTCATTGACATGCTGTCGCTCATCATCAATCTGGATGGACAGCTCTTTAACTCTCCGCTCCAGTTTTCGGTTGGTGGACTGGAGAACTGTCTTCTCCCTAAGAAGGTGAAGGAGGAGGATATCTCTGGCTGTTGCCATTTCTCTCTTTTTTTTTAACTTAGCTAAAAGGCATGTGTCCTTGCCAGAGAAAGTGAGAAAGCAGCCCCCTGGGGATGGCCACATCATAATCCCTTTTCTTTTATTCTCCTCTTAGGGTTTTGAACACGCATACATAGGCGCCCACTGTGATTTTGACACTGCCAGGTGCAGGACACAAACCGCAGAGCTAGCCATGTAGGGTCCAGCCATCTCAATCAGCACGCCACCAGCTGGCCCAGCTGTTTCTAAAGGAACATTTGCTCGGTCCCCTATTGCCTCCAAAGACTTTTCTCAGGCATGAGTAGGCTGGAGAGGAGCCGAGGTAGAGCCAAGGAACAAGGGCATAGAGGTTACTCCTATTTCAGAATTCCGTCACTCTCCCTGCTCTCCACCAGGAAGAAAGGACTCCCTAAAGATCTGGCCTGGTTGGCTGTATGGGGCTTAGAAGATGAGGGAGGCCAAGAGGAGAAAAACCCAGAGGAAGGAGAAAGGGACAAAGGACAGGCTCATGTCACCTCTCTTCAGCCTGCAGTCGTTCCTGCAACAACTGGTTCTGGGACTCAAGCTGAGAGAGGCTGGCACTGGGCTTCTGGAAGCCTTCTGAGCTGGCCAACCGGCTCTTCAAGTCCTTGTTCTGGGGGAAAGGAAGCCTCCACAGTTAGCACCCCGCTTGGCCATTCTCCCCACCTCCTGGGGTCTGTCCCCACCACCCTTCACCTGTCTCTCCAAGGAGATTTTGTCACACTCCAGGTCCTGCCGAGCAGACCTCTCCTGCATGAGCTCTGTTCTCAGCTGATCCACCTGGTAGGGAAGGGTGAGAGGAACCAGCAAGCTGAACCAGGATAACTGGAGGGTGACCTCTGAACCCCAAGAGCCCCAAATACCCGGGGAACTAAAAAAATCACAGCCTATTCAGTGAGAAGAGCCCCAGAATTTAAATAAGGCCTGCTTAGTCCCACCAGGAACTAGCATCTCTTCTGAACCAATGCAGCCTCAGCTAAGGTCAGAGTGTAGCCCCGGTCACAGAAGCCACAGAATCCATGGTCATAGAATCCTTGGATTCTTTCCACCTAAGGAAACTTGCCAGCTCTTCCTGAAGCAGACAAGACTCCAACACAGGCCCAGCTGCAGATTCTGTGGCCAGAATGTTGCAGAATGAAAGACAGGAGAGTACGGCTGGTTTTTTTTTTTTTGGAGAGATTTTCACTGTAGGGCGCGTGCGCTCGCCAGACAGACAGAGAGAGACATAGAGACAGAAAGCGAGAAATCACCCCCCAGGGGGGATGGTCACGCCGCAATCCCTTCTCCTCCATTCTCCTCTCGGGATCTTGGACACGCACGCACACGCGCCCAGCATGAGTTTTAAGCCACCGGGTCCAGGACACGAACCGCAGTCGACTACGTGGGAGTCCAGCGACATAGCCATTATGCTAACTGAGTACGGCTGGTTTTGAGAGGGCCAGGAAATTAGAGTCAGATAAACCCAGATGAGGGGAAAGGAAGGGTTACCTGGTCCCGGCCACGATTCATCCGGTCTGTCAGCAGCTCCACTGTGTTCTTCTCCTCATCTAACTCTGCTTCCAGCCGGGAGACCTTTTCCTAGAGCAAGACAACAGGTTCATTTTGCCCTGAGTGCTGGACACTAGAACGCCAAACTCAGACCAGGGCTCCAGCTTCCAAACTCCAGCCTCCACAGACTTGGCTCTTACACATCCAGTAACCTCTTGGTCTTTGTATCTGCCCAAAGCCACTATGGAACTAGCGCCCTCTGCTGACCAGTGTGGGACATGAAAGGGAAGGGTGGAGCATGCACTGGGCAGGGAGTTGGAGAACACTGTCTCCCTAATGGGAAACTTGAGAGAGAAACCCAAGTACTTGGGCCAAGGCTGAGACGAAAAGTCCCAGAATCTGAAGCGCCAGAGTACAACTTGAGGGAACAAATTCAAGCCAGGCGGTATACCACAGAGCCTAGGAGAATGGGCTAGGGACCAGACTGCCTGGGCTTGAAATAGATCTACCAGTTTCTTTCCTTTTTTTTTTTTTCTTAAGTTTGCTACAGGGCACATGTGCTCACTAAAGAGAAATAGAGAAAGTAAGAAATCACCCCCCAGGGAGATGGTCATGTTGCGATCCCCTCTCCTCCATTCTCCTCTGAGGATTTTGGGCAGACACACATTCATCCAGCCTATCTCTCAAGTTGCCAGTCCAGGACTCTAACTGTGAAGTTGACTACATAAGATCCAGCCACCCTAACCACCATGCCACCAGTTGGCCCAAGAGCTACCACTTCCTTTTGTTTTGGAGAGGTTTCTGCTATAGGGCGCGTGCGCGCGCCAGAAAGACAGAGAGAGACAAAGAGACAGAAAGCGAGAAATCACCCCCCAGGGGGGATGGCCACGCCGCAGTCCCTTCTCCTCCATTCTCCTCTCGGGATCTTGGGCATGCACACACACGCGCCCGGCGTGAGTTTAAGCTGCCGGGACTGGGACTCAAACCGCAGTCAACTACATGGGAGTCCAGTGACAGAACCATTACATTAACTGCTGGTCCCAAGAGCTACCGCTTTCTAATGGTGGAACTGTGACCACGCTACTTAATTCTCTCTGTGCCTCAGTTTTCCTCATTTGTAAAATGGAGACAACAAGACTATCTACCCTACAGGGTTGTTCTGAGGATTAAACGAGTCTCAAGTACCTGGCACACAGCACAGTATATGCTTGCTGTGGTTGCTGTGGTGGTATTACTGTCATCAAATATAGCAAACCGAGAGCCACTGTGCACTCCAAAGAGAAGCTACCACTTAGCTCTAGTCAACTGTTGCCTTATAAAACTTAGGACTAGAAGCTCCATGTCACCACAGTATAAAGGATGCCAGAAATCCTTGGGGCCAGCAGGTGGTGTGGTGGTTAAGGCACTGGATCCCTCATGGCTAACTCTGTGGTTCAAGTCTCAGGCCTGGTGGCTTGAAAATGAATATGGTGCATATGCATGTATACCCAAAATCCTGAGAGAGTGGAAGAGAAGGGACTGTAACATGGCCATCTCACCCGGGAGCTGATGTCTCACTTTCCCTTTCTCTGTCTTTCTCCAGCAAGTGCACATGCCCTATAGCAAAAATTAAAAAAAAAAAAAAGATGCCAGAAATCTAATTTTTTTTTTTCATTCATGATAGAGTACATGTACACACACGTGAGAGAGTGAGAGAGCGAGAGAGAGCTGAGCTCCCCGATAAGGTCTGGTCACGTCCTCTATCCCATCAGATATGAAGCACTCGAGTACATCCCCAGTGTGAGAAATCCAAATTTTACGTGACATCTATACATTTCCAAACATTGGCAATTAATTTAAAGTTGTTTAAAATACCACAGACTGGGCCAGCCTGTGACACGACGGTTAAGGCGGTTGGATCCCACATGGCCAACGGCACAGTTCAGAATCTCTGACCTACCACCTTGAAAAATACCAGGCATGTGCACATGTGTGCCCAAAAATCCCAAAAGGAGAAGAAGAAAGGATTGCAATGTGACCATCTTCTATGTGTGTGGGGGTGCTTTCTTACTTTCTCTCTCCCTCTTTCTCCCTATCTTTCTCCAATGAATGCACATGCTCTCTGGCAAAGTAAAAAAAAAATAAGAAAGGAAGGAAGGAAGGAAAGAAGGCAGGAAGGCAGGAAGGCTGTAGCCATTTGCTGGAATGGTGGCATAATGGTACAACAACATACTCTGCAAGGCAATCTCACATAGAAAGATTTCTAGTTCAAATCTGAAGATTTCCCCAAGCACACCAGGCACCCATGTGCTCCTGATCCAGAGCTGGCTAAGGCTAGGGGTAGATCACAGAACCTTACTGGGGTGCTATCTCTCTGTCACTCTTGCTCTCTCTTATAAGTAGTAAAATTACACTTGACCTTCATTTTAATCAAAAAGTAAAATAAAGTTTAAAAAACCATGGTAGCTGAGCCAGCAGGTGATATGGTGGTTAAGGTGCTGGATTGCCACATGGCCGACTGCAGTTCAGGTCCTGGACCCAGTGGTTTGATAATCACTGTGTTTGTGTGTGTGCATGCGCATGCCCGCATGCCCAAAATCCCAAAAAAAGAATGAAAGAGGGGAACCAGCAGTTAGCGTAATGGCTATGTCACTGAACTCCCACGTAGTCAACCACGGTTCACGTCCTGGACCTGGTGGCTTAAAACTCATGCTGGGTGCGTGTGCGTGCGTGCCCAAGATCCCGAGAAGAGAATGGAGGAGAAGGGTTTGCAGCGTGACCATCCCCTCTGGGGGGTGATTTCTCACTTTCTGTCTCTCTGTCTCTTTCTGTCTGTCTGGCGAGCGCACGTGCCCTATAGCAAAAACCTCTCAAAAATAAAATATAAAAAAAAAAAGATGTTATAAAAAAAAAAAAGAATGAAAGAAAAGGAATTGTGGTGTGGCTATCCTCCCAGGGGGGTGATTTCTCACCTTCCCTCTTTCTAGCAAGCACATATGCCCTATGGCAAACAAAACCAAAAATAAACAAACAAAAAACTGTAGCCAAACAAAAACCCACTATAGACTACCAGTTCCAATTTCTAGTGTATAAAGAGGCGTGGAGTATCCTGGCTCCTTTCCCCATAAAAGTTCTATCTGTGCGAAAACCCAGAAGCTCCCTCCTCCTCCCCACAGGACACCCCCAATGTCTTACCTCGAGGCTCTTCAGTTGCCGGGCCCTGTCGTCCTGGGAGCGTTTCTTGTTTTCTGCCTCTTGCTCCAGCCCCTGCAGTCGCTGGGCCAGCAACTCCTTGTCCAGCCGGGCTGTGTCCCGTTCAGCCTGGGATGCCTGCAGGGCCTGCCGCAGCCTCTGGGTCTGGGAGGCAGGGAAAAGGTGACAGCTCGGAGTAGTAAGAAGGTGGGCACTGAGAGGTGGAAAGAACCCACTTCCAAGGGGAGAAATAGTCATTGGCGTTCTTTAGCGTTGTCAGTGCATAGTGGTAACAAAAAGCAGACTTATAGTCTATTTTCTTTATTGTTTAAATTCTCTACCCAAGTTAGAATCACTTGAAGAGTTGATTTTTGCTATAAGGTATGTACACTTGACAGAGAGACAGAAAGCGAGAAATCACTCCCAGGGGGATAGCCATGCCGCAATCCCTTCTCCTCCATTCTCCTCTCGGGATCTTGGGCACACACACACACACACACACATGCGCCCAGAGTGAGGTTTAGGCCACCAGGTCCAGGACTCAAACTGCAATCAACTTGTGTGGGAGTCCAGTGACATACCCATTACGCCATCTGCTGGTCCCTCACTTGAAGAGTTTAAAAAAAAAAATTGATCCTGGGTTCTAGTCCAAGAGTTTGGGATTTAAATAGTACGGAATACAGCTTGGGCAGTAGGATTTTTTTTTTTTTAAGTTTACTAATATATTTTTTCCATAAGAGAGAAAGATCTAGATAGAGAGAGAGAAGAGACAGACAGAGAGGCACCTCTAACAGTCTTTATGCCACAACCCATCCCCAACCTCAACTGGTCCAGATCACAGGCACATGTGTAGTCGGCATGGAGAGGGAGGCCTGGGATATGAACCTGGGACCTTTCTAGTTGCTCTCCTGCTGCACCTCCACGTGTCCTCACTGAGACTTTTATAAATTTCCCAGGCAAGTAAAATGCACAGCAGAGTTTGAAAAATCATTCTTCCATAGCCAATGCATCCCTTTGTCTGTACCCAAGGTAGACAACTTCCATCCTACCCTAACTATTGTGGTATGTCACTACCAGTGGTCAGACTGCCAGTGGTTGTGTCCCAGGACCCCTCGCCACAGTGAGTAGAGGCAATGACCTTCGAACCCAAGAACATCAGGATGGTTCCCATTCCCCATCCATTTAGGCCCCTACCTCATCCTGAAGCCGGCTCAGCCCCCCAGAGGTCTTCTCGGCTTCGCTGGCCCAGTCCTTGGCCTGGCGCTGGGCATCTGCCACCTCCCGCCGAGCCTTTTCCTTGTAATCCTCCAGCTGGGCCTGGAGCTGCTGCAAGGCTTGCTTAGAGTCCTCTGCAATTTGCTCCAGCTAAAACACACAAAGAAAAGAATTTCAGCACTGTACCACTTTAACAGATGCCACTGTCCTTCCTCCAGACCCAGACTTCCAAGACGCCAAAAGATCCCTCCCTGGAACCAGCAGATGGCATAATGGTTACATCGCTGGACCCCCCATGTAGTCAACCATGGTTCAAATCCCAGAGCCAGTGGTTTAAATTCACACCAGGCACGTGTGCGTGCATGCCCAAGATCCTGAGAGGAGAATGGAGAAGGGATTGCAGCATGGCCATCCCCGGTGGGGGTGATTTCTCGCTTTCTGTCTCTCTGTCTCTCTGGAGAGCCCATCCTGTAAGACAGCTCTCTATTACTCTTTCTGGGGCCTAGGTCCCTGGTGCAGTTGGTAATTATATACAGATGCCACATTCCTGGCTCTACCATTTAACCAGTGACCTCTGGGGCAGATGGCCATGCCACAAGCCCTTACTTATCCTCTCTGTGTCTTAGTTCCCCTGTAAAATCACACAGTGGTTGTGAGAATTATGTTGGTTAATTATGTATTTACAACAGGGCCTAATAAAAAAAGCAAACCTTAAATAACCATTTTTCAGCAAACCCAAGGTGCTAGTACCAAGAAAGAAAAATCTGGGGCCAATCAGTAATACAGTGGTTAAAGCGCCTAGAACCCACATGGCCAACTGCATGGTTTGAGTCCCTGACCCAGCGGCTTGAGAAACATTTTGGGTGCATGTATGTGCCCAAAATCCCAAGAGGAGAATGCAAAAGGGATTGTGGTGTGGTCATCACCCATGTTTTCGCCAACTCCTGGTCCCATCAGTTCTATTTTTAAAAATATTTTTATCAAAAAAATTTGGGGGGGGACCAACAGTTAGCATAATGGCTATGATGCTGGACTTCTATGTAGTCGACTGGGGTTCGCGTCCCAGACCCGGTGGTTTAAACTCAAGCTGGGTGCATGTGTGTGCGTGCCCAAGGTCCTGAGAGGAGAATGGAGGAGAAGAGATTATGGCACGGCCATCCCCTCTGGAGGGTGATTTCTCACTTTCTAAAAAAATAAAAGAACTGATGTCAATATTAGGTGCATGTTCTTGTTTTATAAAGTACAAGATTGAAAAAAGCACCTTATCAGAAAAAAAGCCATTTCTGAGGTGGGTCTTCAAAATACATGTTAGGAAAAAACTATGCATGGATTTTTATTGTGGCTTTTTTTTGCATCAGAATAAACTGATACTTTAATTCCATTGTCCGTGAACTTTCTGAATAGCCTAATAGTTCTTTTTCTTCCTTTCTTCTCTCCCTCTACATTTTTTTCTTTCTCTTTTTAAAGTTAGCTTTAGGGCATATACACTTGCTAGAGAGAGACAGAGTAAGAGAGAGAAGTGAGAAATCATCCCCCAGGGCCAATGGTCATGCCACGATCTCTTCCCCATTCTCCTTTTGGGATTTCGGGCACAAATGCATATGTGCCCAGTGTGATTTTCAAGTTGCTGGGTCTGGGACTGAAACTCCCCAGTCAACCATGTGGGGGCCCGCCTCAGCCTCCACGCCACCTGCTGGGCCCCTCCTCCCAATTTAAAATACTATACCAGTGAAGATTCTTCTGTCTAGGTCTTAGAGCTTTCTAAGGGAGAGTCCCAGGAGACACTCTGCAAACGTGAAGAGCATACAGAGTGGGAAAGGAGGGAAGGGCAAAGCCTCAGGAACGGGGAGGGTAGGAAGGATGTCCCTTTTGGAAGATCTGGCCTTGGCCTTCCCAACAGCACACCTGAGGAGAGCCAATGCCCCACAGTCTCCCTCACACACACGTCCGCCCACCCAGTGCCCTGAGCCTCCTCCTAAGGGCCCGAGCCACCCTGTGCCCCACCTCCTTGTTCAGTCGGTCCACGGTCCTGTCCAGCAAACGCTTCTGCTCCTCCAGCTCAGCCTTGCCTCGCCGCAGGACCTCCCGCTGCTTCCCTTCCTCCTCCAGGGTGCGGGTCAGCACCTGCTGCTCCTGCCCCAGGCGGGCCAGCCCCCGCTGGGCCTCCTCCAGCCGCAGCTCCAGTGCCCGCTTGGCTGCTGCCAGGCGCCCCTCCTCCTCCTGAGCTGCACTCAGTGCCTCCTCGAGCCGCTGTTTCTCTGCCTGAGAGAAGGAAGAGGTGGCGGATGGGCCTGGGAGCAGGTGAAGCTTGGGTTCCAGCCACTCGGAGGAGAAAGATACTTGGGAAAAAGGCAGGTGCTGAAAACAGACTCAGAGGAACAAGCACAGACCTCAACACGTAGGGAGCAAGCAGGGCAGGGGATAAGGGGCAAAAAGAGCAGTGCGAAGCCAGAAACAGTCAGACCGAAGCGCGCTCCGGGAAATCAGCCCAAGGTGAACAGAGGGTTTGGGTTGGCAAGACAGCAGCACGACAGGGCAAAATAAAACTGGCGGCCAAGTGCCTATTTAGCATGGGAGGATTTCGTCAGGCTGAAGGTAGGAAGCCGGCGCTGCGGGCAACAGCACTGACCTCCAGCCGCTGCACCTTGTCTCGAAGTCGTGCCTCCACCGCTTCCCCACCCTCCGCCAGGCCTCGGGCCTCCTTCAGCTGCTGCTCCAGACCCAGGATGCGCCGGCGGAACTCGTCGTTTTCCTCCTGGGTCTCCCGAAGCGTGGTCTCCACTGCTGCCCTGCGCTGCCCCAGCACTGCTGCCTCTGCCTCGGTGGCCAGCTTAGCCTGCGGACGGGCCAGGGAGCGGCGGCTCAGACCCCAGAGTTCCAGGTCAGTGACCACAGGGCAAAGCCACCTAGCGAGAACCCACAGGAATGGGACTTCGAGAAGGTGCTGCCTCCAGCCAATGGCTTCCCTGATCATCCCGCCCCTACAGAGAAGCAGTGGGCATCACCAGGATCAGCCGCCTGCCCGCCCGATCCTCGCTGCCTTTAACCACACAGCTGGGACCAGGGAGCTGGCCGGTACGTACCCACATTAGGTAACTTTCCACGCCCTGGGCTCCTCAGCCCTCCAGACCCCTCAGCCTCCACTTCCTAAGCCCTGTGCCCACTCCCCTTGCCTTGGAAGCCTCTTCACAGTCCTGTCTTAGTTGCTGGAGGGTCTTTTGTAGCTGGAGGTTTTGCTGTTCCAGCTCGCGGCCTCGATCAGCCTCAACCCTCAGGACTGCCAGCTGCTTCTCCAACTCGCGGTCTCGGTGTCGCCCAGCCACCTCCTGGCTCTGCTGTTCTGCCTGCAGCTCCTTCAGCTCCTCCTGTGTCCGGCGTAACTCCTGGAAGGGAAGGGAGACAGTGACAGAGCCCAGAGAGTCGGACTGCCATACTGTAACAGAGAAGTTACAGCTCTTGTACGTTGCCAGTGGGCACATAAAATGCCATGGCCACTCGAGAGCAATTTGGCAGTTTCTCCAAAAGTGAACTGTATGTTACCATGCGACCTAGCAATTCCACTCCTAGGTATAAACCCACCAGAACAGAAAGGACATAGTCACACAAAAACGTGTACATAAATGATAGCAGCATTACTCACTATAGCCCAGATGTAAAAACAATCCAAATGTCCAATTGATAAATGAGCAAAACAGGTATCTACCAATAGAAAGGAATATTACTCAGCTGTGAAAAGGAAAGAAGTATTGCCACTAGCTAACACAGGGGTGAACTTTGAGAACATTATGCTAGTGAAAGAATCTAGACACAAAAAGCTTTGTATTATAGGATTCCAATTATATATAATTTCCAGAATAAGCAAATCCAGAGAGACAAAAAGTAGATTAGTGGTTGTCAGGAGAAGGGTAGGGGATTACTGCTAAGGGGTACAGGTGTCTTTTTGGGTTATGAAAACGATCTGTAATTCGATAGTGGTGACAACTGTGCAATTCTGTGAATGTACTAAAACCTCCGAATTAATACACTTTCAAAAGATGAGTTTTGGAACCAGCAGTTGGTGTAATGGCTATGTCGCTGGACTCCCATGTAGTCGACCGCGGTTCAAGTCTCGGAACCGGCAGCTTAAATTCACGCTGGGTATGTGTGCGTACGTGCCCAAGATCTCGAGAAGAGAATGGAGGAGAAGGGATTGTGGCGCAGCCATCCCCCTGGGGGGTGATTTCTCACTTTCTGTCTCTCTGTCTCTGTCTTTCCAGCGAGCGCAAGCGCCCTATAGCAAAAACATGTCTTTTCTGCAACGAAAAAGCGCATAAAAAAAAAAAAAAAAAAAAAAAAAAAACTCTCAAAAAGATAAAAAAAATAAAAAGATGAGTTTTATGTTGCATAAAATATAATTCTATAAAAGAGTCATGTGGAGGGGCTGGAAGGTTATATGGAGGTTAAGGTGAATGGATTCCACATGGCTGATGGTGGAGTTCAAATCCTGGACCTGGAGGCTTGAAAATCATGCCAGGCACATGTGTGAGCATACCCAAAATGGAGAATGGAGAAGGGATTGGGACATGGCCGTTTCCCCAGGGGGTGATTTCTCTCCGAGAGAGGGAGTCTCTCTCTCTCTGTCATGTGGAGAGAGAGCAGATATGTATGAATGTAAGATTCGCCATTTAAGACCATGGGTTTGGATTCTCTGGTTGGCTTGAAAACACCAGGTACACACACAGGTGCCCAGAGTCCTAAGATGCTCGAGGCTAGGAAAGGGGGTCACAGTGTGATAAGCCCATCAAGGCTGGCTCTTTCTAAACTCTGAATAGGCACATCCATGCGTGTGTTCTTTGTCACTAAATAAAAAGGGGAGGGGCAGCCTGGGGCTTGGTGGTTAAGACATCTGGATCCTATATAGCTGACTGCACAGTTCGAGTCCTAGACCCAGTGACTTGAAAAATACTGGGCACATGTGCATGCCCAAAATTGCAAAAAGAGGAGTAAATGAAGTAAAGTAATTACAGCTTGACCATTGTCCACAGGGTGTGCTTTCTCACTTTCCCTCTCTCGCTTACTCTCTCTCCAGAGCGTTTATGTATACTCTGGCACCAGCAGATGGCATAATGGTGACATTGCTAGACAACCACACAGTTGAAGGGACTGCAGAGTGACCATCCCCACTGGGGGCTGATTTCTCACTTTCTGTCTCTCTGTCTCTCCTTGTCTTTCCGGCAAGCGCCCTATAACAAAAAATCCCTTAAAAAAATCAATCATTTAAAAAATATATTGAAGACTGGGACCAGAGATGGCATAATGGTTATGTTGCTCGACTCCCACATAGTCAACCATGGTTCGAGTCAGACTTAGTCGCTTAAAACTCACACTGGGCACACGTGCGTGTGTGCCCAAAATCGCAAGAGGAGAATGGAGAAGAGATTGAGATGTGGCCATCCTCTTGGGGGCTGATTTATTGCTTTCTGTCTCTCTGTCTGTCTTTATGGTGAGAGCACAAACCCTATAGCAAAACTCTCTCTATGGGGCTGGCAAGTGGCGTGGTGGTTAAAGGCGCTGGACTCCCTCATGGCTGACCACAGTTCAAGTCTTGGACCTGGTGGCTTGCTTTCTCACTTCCTCTCTCTCTCTCTCTCTCTCTCTGTCTCTCTCTGATCAAACTGAAAAATAATAATGATATAGTAATAAATAAAGTTAAATAAAATAATTCTTAAAAAACAAAAACAAAACCTCTCTCTAAAAGAAAAAAAACAGGGGCCGGCAAGTGGCATGGTGGTTAAAGGTGCTGGACTCCCACGTGGCCGACCATGGTTCAAGTCTCAGACCTGGTGGCTTGCTCGCTTCCTTCCTCTCTCTCTCTCTTTCTCTGTCTCTCTCGGATCAAACTGGAAAATAATAATGATAATAATAATAAATAAAGTTAAATAAAAATAATTCTTTAAAAAAAAGAATTGTAAGACTTTAACATATGTAGGATTCGGACTATTTAAAAAAAGAAAAAAATATGTGTGTGTGTGTATATATACACACATATATATATATGTGTATATATATATATGTGTGTATATATATGTATATATATATAAAACTAAAATATGTGACAATAAATACTGGTGGAACTCTTGATTTCTTTTAAAAAGAAAATTTAAATATGTGTTTTCTTTTTTTTTCTGAGAGATTTTTGCTATAGGGCGTGTGCGCTCACCAGAAAGACAGAGAGAGACAGAGAGACAGAAAGCAAGAAATCACCCCCCAGGGGGGATGGCCATGCTGCAATCCTCCATTCTCCTCTCGGGATCTTGGGCACGCATGCACACGCGCCCAGCATGAATTTAAGTCACTGGGTCCAGGACTTGAACCGCAGTCAACTACATGGGAATCCAGCGACATAGACATTACACCAACTGCTGGTCCCATTCTGTTTCTAATTCTTTAGCTAGTGGCTACTTACAACATTCAGAAAGAACCATAATTAGACTGAAGGGTTATATAATGTGTAGTGAGTCTTCAACGTAAGACACTAACAAAACTCATTACAAAGAGAAATAAAAATAGTGTATGGATCTATATATATATATATATATTTGGAGAGGTTTTTGCTATAGGGCGCGTGCGCTCGCCAGACAGACAGGGAGACAGAGAGACAGAAAGCGAGAAATCACCCCCCCAGGGGGGATGGCCATACCACAATCCCTTCTCCTCCATTCTCCTCTCAGGATCTCGGGCACGCACGCACATGCACCCGGCGTGAGTTTTAAGCCACCAGGTCCGGGACGCGAACTGCGGTCGGCTACGTGGGAGTCCAGCGACATAGCCATTACGCTAACTGCTGGTCCCTGGATCTATACTGAACTTAATGTGCTTTCCTAATGTATATTTTAATTGATTAAATTCATTTTTTTTTAGAGAGAGATTTTTGCTATAGGGTACGTACACCCGCTGGAGAGACAGAGAGAGATGGAGAGAGAGAAAGCAAGAAATCACTCCTCTGGAGGATGGCCACCCCACAATCTCGTCTCTATTCTCCTCTCAGGATCTTGGGCATGCATGCACACGCACCCCAGCATGTTTTAAGCTGCTGGGTCCAAGATTCAAACTGCAGTCGACTACACAGTACTCCAGCAATGTAACCATTACTCCATATGCTGGTTTCTATTGATTAAATTCTTTTTTTTTTTAAAAAAAAAAGAGAATTATTTAATTTTATTCATCATTACCTTTTTTTTTTTTTAAATTTGCTACAGGGCATGTGAGCTCACTAGAGAGAGACAGAGACAGAAACAGAGAAAGAGAAAGCAAGAGAGCAGGAAAGTGAGAAAGCAAGCCGCCAGGTCCAGGATCAGTACCACAGTCGGCCATGTGGGAGTCCAGTGCCTTAACCACTAAGCCACCTGCTGGCCCCTTGATTCAATTCTTGATAAAATATACTTCATATATGAGGTTAGTTCAAATAGCTCATGGGAAAATGGAATTAAAGGACAAGTTTATTCTAGTACAAAAAACTTGAAATATAGACAAAAGTTTTTCATGCATTTTCTATGAACGTTTTGAAGGCTTCTCAAAGGAGAGACAGCTGAAACACTTATTGCTTTAAAATGTATTATTTATTACATTTATTATTGTGCTCAAGATAAAGAGCATATACGCCGGAGAGGGAGGGAGAGGCACCCTCGACAGGTTCTCTTCACATTGAGATCCCCTTCCCACGGCTCTCCAACTCATCAGGGTCTCAGGCATGTGCCTGTGCTCTTGGCATGTTTCCAGGCTGACCTGGGGATCCAAACCTGAGGTCGGCCATAGTGCTTCGAGCACTGCAGTTCAGTTTGCTACTGATTGCACCACTAGGCTAAGCCTGGTTATCACTTTTTACCTTTACTCAGAATAATAAATCAACTGAGATGGCCGAGAACTGTCCACATTCACTGTGTCAGAATCAGACTATTCTTGATATTTGGTAACTTCAAAACAATTC